TCCCCCTTGACCCAGGGGTTTAACAGAAGTTTGCAGCCAATATAATGTTGCATTACTGCCACCAACTGGACCGGAGAATAAATCAATTATACTTTGTGAAAGAAAAATACAAATTACCCTGCCAACCATTGTTGATGTTAATGTGTTGATGTTCTCCATATGCATAGCCAGAATGATTTTGCAGTGCATGGCGATTGAAGAGGTTTCCTGTTATATTCATCAGAGGTGTAGGGAGGGTGAAATTGGTGAATCCAAACAAATAGTAAGTATACAGATGATTAACAAAACATGCACATGACAGTATTCATACCTTGGTTATTGTGGTGAATGTGAATGAAAAAAACTGTTTTGATTATGGTTTTCATACTCATACCTTGTCCATAATGTAGATGCCTATGGGATATTCATTGACGAGGTAAGGAAGGAGGATGGTAAATGTGATCTGCATAACATACAAATACCAATTGACATATCTTTGTATGCCTTCTTGTCTGTATACCTGCAGACACAGACACAAAAGTGAGCAGTTCAGTCATCTGCAGCCAATACAGCAGCCTTCAACATATTCTTATAGCACACATATTCTTACCTCTTTGTTGATTGATATCCTTTGAATTGTGTCCATTTTCTGTTTTAGAAAGATTTGCACCAATATAAAAAGACAGATGGTATCATCATAAAACAAAATACATTTTGATCATACAAGGGACAAACGTTACCTTAAATTTAGGAGATCTTTACATTTTTCAGTTAAGTGCCTGCACCTGCTGTCCTTTCAAATTCAAATCTAGATGTTTCAGTTGGGCAGTTAGGTTCCTGCAAGAACCGCCACCAACTAAGCACGTTCCTCGATGAACCCCACCTCCTATTGGGTTCCTCAAAGAACCTATTGGGGGCCATTTTCAGTGCCAAGAAGCCTAAGGTTCTTCGAAGGACTTTGAGGATCTTAGAAGAACCCTTGTTGAACCCCTACTTTTTTGAGTGTACCTACCATTAGTCCCATCTCTCATTTAATTGGACTTACTTCACAGTAGTAAACAGAATAGTAGTAAATAGAAAAGCTATTTCAAGTATTTTGCTCTATATAGCTCAGATCCGAAGTTTAACGGTAAAACAGACGGTTCACCTTCTCCATTGATGTTTGCAGGCTACGTCTGAATACTGTAATGTCAAATGTATCAAGTAGACAATATTACATTTCTAAACAAAATATATTATACATACAGTACCAGTCAAAAGGTTGGACACACCTACTCATTCAAGGGTTTTTCTTTATTTTTACTATTTTCTACATTGTAGAATAATAGTGAAGACATCAAAACTATGAAATAACACATATGGAATCATGTAGTTACCAAAAAAGTGTTAAACAAATCAAAATATATTTTATATTTGAGATTCCTCAAAGCCACCCTTTGCCTTGATGACAGCTTTGCACACTCATGGCTTTCTCTCAACCAGCTTCACCTGGAATGCTTTTCCAACAGCCTTGAAGGAGTTCCCACATATGCTGAGCACTTGTTGGCTGCTTTTCCTTCACTCTGCGGTCCAACTCATCCCAAACCATCTCAATTGGGTTGAGGTCGGGTGATTGTGGAGGCCAGGTCATCTGATGCAGCACTCCATCACTCTGCTTCTTGGTCAAATAGCCCTTACACAGCCTGGAGGTGTGTTGGGTCATTGTCCTGTTGAAAAACAAATGATAGTCCCACTAAGCACAAACCAGATGGGATGGCGTATAGCTGCAGAATGCTGTGGTAGCCATGCTGGTTAAGTGTGCCTTGAATTCTAAATAAATCACAGACAGTGTCACCAGCAAAGCAACCCCACACCATCACACCTCCTCCTCCATGCTTCACGATGGGAACTACACATGAGGAGATCATCCGTTCACCTACTCTGCGTCTCACAAAGACACGGCTGTTTGGAACCAAAAATCTCAAATTTGGACTCATCAGACCAAAGGACATATTTCCACCGGCCTAATGTCCATTGCTCATGTTCTTTGGCCCAAGCAAGTCTCTTCTTCTTATTGGTGTCCTTTAGTAGTGGTTTCTTTGCAGCAATTCGACCATAAAGGCCTGATTCAAGCAGTCTCCTTTGAACAGTTGATGTTGAGATGTGTCTGTTACTTGAACTCTGTAAAGCATTTATTTAGGCTGCAATTTCTGAGTCTGGAAACTCTAATGAACTTATCCTCTGCAGCAGAGATAACTCTGGGTCTTCCTCTCCTGTGGCGGTCCTCATGAGAGCCAGTTTCATCATAGCGCTTGAGTGTTTTTGCGACTGCACTCGAAGAAACTTTAAAAGTTCTTGAAATGTTCCGTATTGACTGACCTTCATGTCTTAAAGTAATGATGTACTGTTGTTTCTCTTTGCTTATTTGAGCTGTTCTTGCCATAATATGGAGTTGGTCTTTTACCAAATAGGGCTATCTTCTGTATACCACCCCTACCTTGTCACAACACAATGATTCTATATGTGTTATTTCATAGTTTTGATGTCTTCACTATTATTCTACAATGTAGTAAAAATAAAGAAAAACCTTTGAATCAGTAGGTGTGTCCAAACTTGTGACTGGTACTGTATATCATAAACATTGCAGAATAAATTCCTCACCTTTTCTGGCCATGATGAGTTCATATTCCCGAAGTAGCCATAAAACAAATTACCATACACATCTCTCATTTAATTAGGCCTATTAGATAGACTATTATAATTTCTAGTTTTTGCTCTTTGCATCTGAAAGGGTGCTCTGTCTATAACATACAGTAGAATTTAACAGGTGAACAGACAGTTGATATTTTGCATTGATGTGTGTACCACTGTATGTAGGCCTACTGTAGTTTACATTTTTTGTTCAAGTAGACAATGTTTCAGATTTCGTGGGCAGAGCAGCGTATTTAAGTTTGGGAAAAAACGCATTCAAACAATCTGTTTACAGGGCCACAACAATTTGCAATTGTTTTTGTCTTTCAGAAACGGTCAGATAGCCTATAGCAAATGTCACTGCAAAAGAAAACATTCTGCCAACACCTCCAAAGGCATTTGATCAAGTTTGCCATTGCTATTTCCTTTACTGTCTTGGCCTAATTCCAATACTTCCAAAGTATAGGTCTACAGCAAATAAGGGCGTTATTGTCACCATAAAAGGTGAACGATGGGCGTTTTTCAAGCCGAGTTATAATGCTCATTCAGGTGCGCACAGTTTTACAACAGGTCTGATTCATATAAAACGGGAAACATGCGTCTTTACACTCTAAAAAAATAGGGGTTCAATAAGGGTTCTTCTAAGATCTTCAAAGTTCTTAGAAGAACCTTAGGGTTCTTGGCACTAAAAATGGCCCCCAAAAGGTTATTCCAAGAACCCCATAGGAGGTGGGGTTATTTGAGGAACCTCCTTGGTTGGTGAGGTTTCTTGCAGGAACCTAACTGCCCAACTGAAACGTTTGGATTTGTATTTGAAACGACAGCAGGTGCAGGCACTTAAATGAAAAATGTAAACATCTCAATTTAAGGTAAGGTTTGTCCCTTGTATGATCTAAATTGATATTGTTTTATGATGATACCATCTATCTTTTCATATTTGTGCAAATCTTTCTAAAACAGAAAATGGGCACAATTCAATGGATATCAATCAACAAAGAGGTAAGAATATGTGTGCTATAAGAATATGTTGAAGGCTGCTGTATTGGGCGCAGATGACTGAACTGCCCACTTTTGTGTCTGCAGGTATACAGACAAGGAGGCATACAAAGGTATGTCGGTTGGTATTGGCATGTTATGCAGATCACATTAACCATCCTCCTTCCTTACCTCGTCAATTAATAGGCCTCAACAAGGTATATGTATGAAAACCATTTTCAAAACAGTTTTTTTCATTTACATTCATGACATAAACCTAAGTATGAAAACTGTCATTTGCATGTTTTGTTAATCATCTGTATAATTCGTATTTTTTGGATTTACAGACTTCCCTCCCTACACCTCTGATGAATATAACAGGAAACCTCTTCGATCACCATACACTGCCAAATCATTCTGGCTATGGATACGGAGAACATCAACACATTAACATCAACAATAGATAGCAGGGTAATTTGTATTATTCTACCACAAAGTATAATGGTTTTATTCTCCGGTCCAGTTGGAGGCAGTAATGCAACATTGTATTGGATTCCAACTGCCGTTAAACCCCACCAAAGAAGAAGAAGGTACGCTAGCTAGAACAACAAGAGCTGCCAATTCAAAGTCAGGTGTCAAGGTAAGATAAAAATTTCTAAAATACTCTGTAACGTTTCCATAAATAAACATTAGTAGTCGGATTATCTGTCCACCAGATCATGTGTAAACAAAAACCATTTGAGCTAACCTTAGCTAGCTTGCTTACTGGCCATTAAAATGACTACCCAAGCTAACTAGCTATCTGTAATACCAAGCAACTTTATTTATATTAAAGACGCTGTTGTGAATGTTAACGTTATTTGTTATTAAGACAGCAATGTCAACTATGTGATGTGTGAATTGTCCATCTTTAAGATGGCATAAATCTATTGGCAACCCTTAGCTAGTAAATTAGCATGGCTAGTTAGCTAGGCTGTTTGTTATCGAAGGTTGGCTAGTTAGCTAGTTAATTTAATTTCAGTAGCTAATCATTAACTAACTGGTCATTTAGAGATTACAAATAAAATGTCATTTTGGTTCGCCATTACTTCAAACAAACTTATTGCTGGTAATTTGGCTATCTAGCTAGATCGCTTCATCCTAGTGAGAAAGGTGACAGTAAAATTCGTCAGTACGATAAAGCTAACCCAACTAGGTCAACATTGCTAACGCTAGCTGTACGATAGCCACAGCAATGCTAGCTAGTGATATGGATTAGTAGATTGCTAGTGGATGGAATATTAGGTATATTCCTTTATTAACTAAGCTGTTCCAGTATTTTGTGAAACTCACCTTACATTTTTTTGTGCCTCTTTTGAATCCATTTATAGCCTTCCATGTCTGAACCCAAGGCCCCGGGTTCTTACTGTGGTCTTCCAGCACAGAGAAGCTCACAGTGGGGTCCAGAGATGGTCTTAGTGAAGCTGGAGGACTGTAGTCAACCACTGGAACTCAATGTGATAGTCAAAGAGGAAGAGGAGGAGAGAGAAGTCAAAGAAGAGGAGCTAGGGATTAAAGAGGAGGTGGAGGAGAGAGCATTCACAGAGGAGGAGGAGAGAGCATTCAAAGAGGAGGTGGAGGAGAGAGCAGTCAAAGAGGAGGCGGAAGAGAGAGCATTAAAAGAAGAGGTGGAGGAGAAAGCAGTCACAGAGGAGGAGGAGAGAGCATTCAAAGAGGAGGTGGAGGAGAGAGCAGTCAAAGAGGAGGCGGAGGAGAGAGCATTCAAAGAGGAGGCAGAGGAGAGAGCATTCAAAGAGGAGGTGGAGGAGAGAGCGTTCAAAGAGGAGGTGGAGGAGAGAGCATTCAAAGATGAGATGGTGGAAAGAGCGTTCAAAGATGAGATGGTGGAGAGAGCAGTCGCGGAGGAGAGACTGGTCACAGAAGTGGAGAACAGGGAAGAGGAGGAAGAAGTAGATGGTAACACTGACCCAGGTAAGTTCAGTTGTGTAGGATGGAGAGAGGTTGGTGCATTGGCAGCCACATGGGATTCCATAACTATTATTGGGTCTTTCCACTAATCTGGTGCCTTTTTCTGAAGAATAACTTGGTTTCATCTAATGTTAAAGGGGCAGTGCAGTTAAAAACGTGATGTTCCTGTTTTGAAAATAATTCCTGGAATTTCAACCTGTTCAGTTGGGATGGAGTTTTTGGCCCAGATCATGACATCACAATCTGCATATGTATCCTCCTACTTTGAAGGGGTAAGCGGGGTAGGCTCTGTTTGCCAATCAGGGCTGTATATGTAAATCTTTTTTAATTTGTATCAACATGCCCACAAGATCAGACTGAACATTCAAATGTCATAAGGAGGGTCTGGGAAATCAATGATAAAAAAATATATTTGGAGTTATTTTCATTAAATAAACACACGCAGTGATATATTAGACATACAGTGATGATAAAAAACTACTGCATGGGGGCTTTAACATTCTGGGCTCTGTTTTCAGCTGGCGGTTAGGAGGCCCAAGTGTCAAACACACGTTAGTTTGGAATTTCGTCACGGAAGAACATGAGCACTGGCATTTTCCAGCCCTAACGCCAGGTTTGGCAATTTACCTGTCTGACTGTCTCTGAGGTGGGAGGGGTGGCAAAATGGACAGTTTCATGCAGCACTAAAGGGAACGTTTATGACCCACAAACAGCAGGTCTTCTAGGTAACGCTGTTGATTTGGAGAGCGGAAGCGCAGCCTATCCAGCCATGACACACAATGCCAATGAAAGAGAGATGTTCAATTTGTGCTGGTGAGTCTCGTATTTAGAAACAGCAAAATATTATTGGATCCCCTCCCATTTCGCTTAATTTGACTAAAAAACAAGAATAGCCTACCCTCCCCTAAATCATGGCTGGTTTAGCAGCATCACATACAGTGGCTTGCAAAAGTATTCACCCCTCTTGGCATTTTTCCTATTTTGTTGCCTTACAACCTGGAATTAAAATTGATTTTTGGGGGGTTTGTATCATTTGATTTATACAACATGCCTACCACTTTGAAGATGCAAAATAATTTTTTGTGTGAAACAAACAAGAAATAAGACAAAAAAACTGAACTTGAGCGTACATAACTATTCACCCCTCCCAAAGTCAATACTTTGTAGAGCCACCTTTTGCAGCAATTACAGCTGCAAGTCTCTTGGGGTATGTCTCTATAAGCTTGGCACATCTAGCCACTGGGATTTTTTCCCATTCTTCAAGGCAAAACTGCTCCAGCTCCTTCAAGTTGGATGGTTTCCGCTGGTGTACAGCAAACTTTAAGTCATACCAAAGATTTTCAATTGGATTGAGGTCTGGGCTTTGACTAGGCCATTCCAAGACATTTAAATGTTTCCCCTTAAACCACTCGAGTGTTGCTTTAGCAGTATGCTTAGGGTCATTGTCCTGCTGGAAGGTGAACCTCCGTCCCAGTCTCAAATCTCTGGAAGACTGAAACAGGTTTCCTTCAAGAATTTCCCTGTATTTAGCGCCATCCATCATTCCTTCAATTCTGACCAGTTTCCCAGTCACTGCCGATGAAAAACACCCCCACAGCATGATGCTGCCACCACCATGCTTCACTGTGGGGATGGTGTTCTCAGGGTGATGAGAGGTGTTGGGTTTGCGCCAGACATAGCGTTTTCCTTGATGTCCAAAAAGCTCAATTTTAGTCTCACCCGTTTGAATTCCGGGTCCTGGAGAGAAGTTGGTGCATTGGTGGCAACAGGGGATTCCAAAACTATGGCGGGAAAATATGTTGAAGTGAGCTGTCAACTGGAAGGTTGATGGTATAAAATCCTAGATGTCATCACCCGCGGTTGTTCCCTTGAGTAAGACACTTAACCCCTCCACAACAATTGCTCCACAGGCGCCATAGTATGGAAGTCCCCTGCTCCAACCTCTCCTATCTCCAAATCTAGAATCCTGAGTTGCTACATCCATTTTTGGACATTGAAATGAATGATATACAGTGGGGAGAACAAGTATTTGATACACTGTCGATTTTGCAGGTTTTCCTACTTACAAAGCATGTAGAGGTCTGTAATTTTTATCATAGGTACACTTCAACTGTGAGAGACGGAATCTAAAACAAAAATCCAGAAAATCACATTGTATGATTTTTAAGTAATTAATTAGCATTTTATTGCATGACATAAGTATTTGATCACCTACCAACCAGTAAGAATTCCGGCTCTCACAGACCTGTTAGTTTTTCTTTAAGAAGCCCTCCTGTTCTCCACTCATTACCTGTATTAACTGCACCTGTTTGAACTCGTTACCTTTATAAAAGACACCTGTCCACACACTCAATCAAACAGACTCCAACCTCTCCACAATGGCCAAGACCATAGAGCTGTGTAAGGACATCAGGGATAAAATTGTAGACCTGCACAAGGCTGGGATGGGCTACAGGACAATAGGCAAGCAGCTTGGTGAGAAGGCAACAACTGTTGGCGCAATTATTAGAAAATGGAACCTCGGTCTGGGGCTCCATGCAAGATCTCACCTCGTGGGGCATCAATGATCATGAGGAAGGTGAGGGATCAGCCCAGAGCTACATGGCAGGACCTGGTCAATGACCTGAAGAGAGCTGGGACCACAGTCTCAAAGAAAACCATTAGTAACACACTACGCCGTCATGGATTAAAATCCTGCAGCGCACGCAAGGTCCCCCTGCTCAAGCCAGCACATGTCCAGGCCCGTCTGAAGTTTGCCAATGACCATCTGGATGATCCAGAGGAGGAATGGGAGAAGGTCATGTGGTCTGATGAGACAAAAATAGAGCTTTTTGGTCTAAACTCCACTCGCCGTGTTTGGAGGAAGAAGAAGAATGAGTACAACCCCAAGAACACCATCCCAACCGTGAAGCATGGTGGTGGAAACATCATTCTTTGGGGATGCTTTTCTGCAAAGGGGACAGGACGACTGCACCGTATTGAGGGGAGGATGGATGGGGCTATGTATCGCGAGATCTTGGCCAACAACCTCCTTCCCTCAGTAAGAGCATTGAAGATGGGTCATGGCTGGGTCTTCCAGCATGACAACGACCCGAAACACACAGCCAGGGCAACTAAGGAGTGGCTCCGTAAGAAGCATCTCAAGGTCCTGGAGTGGCCTAGCCAGTCTCCAGACCTGAACCCAATAGAACATCTTTGGAGGGAGCTGAAAGTCCGTATTGCCCAGCGACAGCCCCGAAACCTGAAGGATCTGGAGAAGGTCTGTATGGAGGAGTGGGCCAAAATCCCTGCTGCAGTGTGTGCAAACCTGGTCAAGACCTACAGGAAACATATGATCTCTGTAATTGCAAACAAAGGTTTCTGTACCAAATATTAAGTTCTGCTTTTCTGATGTATCAAATACTTATGTCATGCAATAAAATGCAAATTAATTACTTTAAAATCATACAATGTGATTTTCTGGATTTTTGTTTTAGATTCCGTCTCTCACAGTTGAAGTGTACCTATGATAAAAATTACAGACCTCTACATGCTTTGTAAGTAGGAAAACCTGCAAAATCGGCAGTGTATCAAATACTTGTTCTCCCCACTGTATATACTCATTGATTCTTGAAGAATATAACTTAGAAATGGCTCATGAGTCTAGTTCAACAGTCGTTCTCCATCAGAACCAACATATAAGCTTGTTTTACTCCAATGTTTCTAAACAAACACTGTATAGGCGCAAAACATGGATGAAACTATCATGTTGATATCATGCATGGTCAGTCCTTGCATCTTTAGATCTATTAATTTGAGAGTGGTTACATTTCTCAAAGCCCATCCCTCAGATCTTTACCGAATCAGAGATCTGGTGGTTCTTTGTCATTAGTTTAATTGAGGATTCTTGCTTCAAAGACCAAGTGCAGTAAAAATTATGTTTTTCCTGTGTTTTATATCATATTGTGCGACAGCTGATGAAACTAACACTGTAAAGGTGTGATCTTTTAAATAAGTTATTTCCAGATAGTTGCTGGTTGAAAATACAATTTCCACAGGACCTTCTAATCAGCAGGCTTGCATGGGTGGGAGTTTAGGCTTGCCATGGTGATGTCACCATGTGGTAAATTGTGGCAAAGTTCTTGCTGGAGAAATAGTTTATTTTGGCTAAAAATCATTTTTTTCCCCAACTTCAATGGAAATCTACACTGAACAAAAATATAAACGCAACATGTAAAGTATTGGTCCCATGTTTCATGAGCTGAAATAAAAGATCACAGAATATATCCATATGCACAAATCATTACACAGGTGCACCTTGTGCTGGGGACAATAAAAGGCCACTCTAAAATGTGCAGTTTTGTCATGCAACACAATGCAACAGATGTGAAGTTTTGAGGGAGCGTGCAATTGCCATGTTGACTGCAGGAATGTCCACCAGAGCTTTTGCCAGATAATGTAATGTTCATTTTTCTACCATAAGCTGCCTCCAACGTGGTTTCAATTAATTTGGCAGTACGTCCAACCGGCCTCACAACTGCAGACCACATGTAACCACGCCAGCACAGGACCTCCACATCTGGCTTCTTCACCTGCAGTTTTCACAACTGAAGAATATCTGCACAAACTGTCAGAAATCATCTCAGGGAACCTCATCTGTGTGCTCATCGTCCGGTGTCGTAACCGACTTCAGTTGGCAAATGCTCACCTTCGATGGCCACTGCCACGCTGGAGAAGTGTGCTCTTCATGGATGAATCCCGGTTTCAACTGTACCGGACAGATGGCATGTGGACGAGCGGTTTGCTTATGTCAACGTTGTGAACAGCGTGCCAATGATGGCGGTGGGGTTATGGTATGGGCAGGCACACGCTACGGATAATGAACACGATTGCATTTTATTGATGGCAATTTGAATGCCCAGAGATACCGTGACGAGATCCTGAGGCCCATTGTCGTGCCATTCATCCACTGCCATCACCTCATGTTTCTGCATGATAATAAATGCATGTCGCAAGGATCTGTACACAATTCCTGGAAGCTGAAAATGTCCAAGTTCTTCCATGGCCTGCAAACTCACCAGACATGTCACCCATTGAACATGTTTGGGATGCTCTGGATCGACGTAATGACAGCATGTTCCAGTTCCCTCCAATATCCAGCAACTTCGCACAGCCATTAAGGAGGAGTGAGACAACGTTCCACAGGCCACAATCAACTTCCTAATCAACTCTATGCAACAGAGATGTTGTGCTGCATGAGAAAAATGGTGGTCACACCAGATACTGAATGGTTTTCTGATCCACTTTCCCACCTTTACATTTTTTTTTATCTGTGACCAACAGATGCATATCTGTATTTCCAGTCATGTGAAATCCATAGATTAGGGCCTAATGAATGTTTTTCAATTCACTGATTTCCTTATGAGTATAATTTTTGAATGTGCATGTTGCGTTTTATATTTTTGTTCAGTGTATTAAAGTAAGGTACCTAATTGTTACCCAATAAATGATTTGATATTGATATAAAAACGTCTGCATTGGGCCTTTAAACAAGTATTTTAAAGACCATTTCAATGCTGTTCCTGATTGCAACCCCATATTTGTTCATTTTCCCACAGGAGAGAGCTCAAATCCAGGCTCAGATAGCGATCCCAGTACCACAGCATCAGGAAACCATAAACAACACAGACAGAGGAACTCAAGACAGAAACATCACCACTGCATGGACTGCTTCACTAGTTTCTATGAGCCAGAGGAGTTGAGAAGGCACACTTGTAGGCCCCACCCCTGCTCAGATTGCAGAGGCAGCTTTATTTGTCCAACTCACCTCAAATCAAAACAGGCTCAAAAAAGGAAGACGACATACCCGTGTGGTCAATGTGGGAAGATATGTGAAACACCAAGCAAACTCAAGACGCACCAGATAACTCATACAGGAGAGAAGCCATACCACTGCTCTGTTTGTGGGAAGGGTTGCAGTAATTCGGACCATCTAAAGACACACCAGAGAACTCATACAGGAGAGAAGCCTTACCACTGCTCCCAATGCGGAAAGAGTTTCAGTCAGTTATCAACTCTGAGAAACCACCACCTAACTCACACAGGAGAGAAGCCTTACCTCTGCTCTCATTGTGGGAAGAGTTTCCGTCAGTTAGCCAACCTAAATACACACCAGTTAATTCACACAGGAGAGAAGCCTTACCTCTGCTCTCAATGCGGGAAGGATTTCAGACATCCAAGAGAATTAAAGTCACACATGAGAACTCACACAGGAGAGAAGCCGTTCCACTGCTCCCAATGTGGAAAGAGTTTCAGTCAGTTATCAACTCTGAAAAAACACCAGCTAACGCACACAGGAGAGAAGCCTTACCTCTGCTCTCAATGTGGGAAGAGTTTTACCACATTATGTGAACTAAAGGCACACCAGATAACTCACACAGGAGAGAAGCCTTACCACTGCTCACAATGTGGGGATAGTTTCACCAGTTTATACTTCCTAAAGAAACACCAGCGAATTCACAAGGGAGGAAAGCTGTTCCACTGCTCCCCGTGTGGTAAGAGTTTCAGTCAGTCATCAACTCTTAAAAACACCAGATAACGCACACAGGGGAGAAACCTTACCACTGCTCTCATTGTGGAAAGAGTTTCAGTCTTTCAGGAAACCTAAAGAGACACCAGGTAACCCACACAGTAGAGAAGCCTTACCGCTGCTCTCATTGCGGGAAGAGTGTCAGTCAGTTACAACACCTAAAGACACACCAGTTAATTCACACCGGAGAGAAGCCATACCACTGCTCTCAGTGTGGGAAGAGTTTCAGTCAATCATCAACTTTGAAGAAACATCAGAGAACTCACACAGGAGAAAAGCTGTGTCATCAGATCTGAAGACACCAGCTTGTTCACATAGAGGAGAAGCCTTAACTCCACTTTCAATGTAGGGATAGTTTCACCAGTTTTATATATATTTTTTAAAACACCAACTAATTATGACTAACAATAACTTACTTGGTTAAATAACGGGGGGGGGGGGGGGGGGGACTTGCAAAGGAGTGTGGCACCTGCTCCCTGTGTGCTTCTGTCACCAGGTGAAAAAACCTTTCCAAGCCAAACCTTCATATGATGACCACTAACCGCTACACACACAGTCTACATCATTGCCTACTAGAACTAGCGTGTTAGTAAACCTGCTACAATCATGCAGTACAGTGTACAGTCAGAAAGCAGTTTAGCAGTTACACCGGCGGGCCCCGGTGGCAATAAATTAATAAAATCATAATCTTAAGTTGACTTGGAAGAGTTCCAGTGTTGGATAGCCATAGCCAGCTAGCTAACCTAGCATCCCTCTCTGTTTAAGCCCGGTGTTTGAGTAGGCAAAACTAGCTAGCTGCTTTTGCTAGCTAAGTGAAAATGAAAAAAAAAAAATACAACCAGATACAGCTAGGTCTCCCTCTCTCTCTCTTCTCCTTAATTTTGGAAGAAATTAATTTGTTAACTGTTCAACTGTTGTCTTTGTCTCTCTTTGAGTCAACTACTCACCACATTTTATGTACTATGTACTGCAGTGCTAGCTAATTGTAGCGTATGCTTTCAGTACTGGATTATTTATCTGATCTTTTGATTGGGGGGGACAACATGTTAGTTCATGTTGCAAGAGCTCTGATAGGTTGGAGGGCGTCCTCTGGAAGTTGTCATAATTACTGTGTAAGTCTATGGAAGGGGGTGAAAACCATGAGCCTCCTATGTTTTGTATTGAAGTCAATCTACCCAGATGTGGACAGAACCTAGCTGTCCTGCGGCTACTCCATGGTGTGCTGAGGCTACTGTAGACCTTCATTGCAAAACAGTGTGTTTTAATCAATTATTTGGTGACGTGAATATATTTAGTATAGATTTACCTAAAATGTTTCACTATTTAGATTTGTCTGAAATTCACTGAAGAGGTGGCTCCTCCCCTTCCTCCTCTGAGGAGCCTTCACTACTCTATGGGGTATAAACTTCCTTCTTAACCTCTGATGACACTTTCTAACCAACACAAAATATTGTTTCCTACTATCATAAAGTACATTTCTGTTTCAAAACTATACTGTAAGTCCTACAAACACATGCTTAGTACTCTTAGAAAGGTAAGAACTGTGGGATTCAGAAACAATGTGACTACTACAGAGCCCGAAATACAGCAGATATTAAGAGGTTTGAAAGTCTAGGTTTGAGATCAAATATGTCACCAATTAGTGTTCCAAAAGGAATTTTTAGCAATCATGGCTTTCCACTTAAGGAGTAAAAAAGTAATAAATAAGACACAGAAAGGTGAAGAAACTTCAAACTTGTTTTCCCATTCACTTTTCCTATTGTAAACGATGAGTTAGCTAAACGGCGAATGTGGAGGATGCATTCAAGGTCATGTGGATGGAGAAGGAAATGCATTGTGAAGGGGTCTCAGACCAACGCCTACGCACCTGCTCTACTGAGTCCCTGTGACTGGCACAGACATCCAAGCTGTCTGGTTCTGTGAAAAGAGGACGCTGCGCCTAACCACAGAAAAATCCCCTTCAGCTAGAAGATGCTTACTTCTCCCTCATCAAATTTAAAATGTCGCAAGATGATATTGTCCAGTTCCTGTATGAGAAGTCAAGTATCGGTCAAACCCATGTTTTTGAAGCTATTAAAATACTGACAAGATGATTGGCGCTTATGGGGATAGGTAGATGTATTAAGCTGTTGTTAGGGGATGTCAAGCCAGGAAGGGTTGGGGAGGCTTTATAAGTTACAGGATGTCTTAGACACCTCGCAGAACTTGGGGAGAGCTATCAATATTGTACTCTGTACCAACTTCTGCCTGCAATTGCATTAACTAAAGAATAATCTGAATACTTTGACGAAGAGTCAGTGTTTCCTTCTTACCACCACATATTGATTTGAGCATCATTACACCTGATCATCAGTGGAAGAATTTGAGCCAACAATTGCTTTACAATGACCACCAGGGTGGATCCTTTCCATGCATACTAAATGGTTGCACTTTTGGTGACTTGACCTACATTGCATACTCTATGACTACGTCCATAGCACATGATTTATGGCCTTTATGGGGGGGTTCTTATGATATTCCCAGCAGTAAGATTTTAGTTAGATTTCCAAAAAGACAAGGCCTGTAGCTTTCAGATGTCACTTTCTATTTTCTGATGTTTTTTATTTTTTTTGGGGGGGGGGGGGGGGGGTACAGTTAACATGTGGAACAATAACCGTGAGTAACACATGACAGATGGTAATGATCACAGTAATGGAGTAAAAATGTAAAGGTAAAATAAATTATATAGTAATTAATGAAGAATTAGATAATCAATCAATCAATCAAAAAAAAAAAAAAATGAACATATTATAAAGTGAAAGTGCTGAATAGTACCAGAGCTTAAACCCTTATAGACCCTAGCATGTCTTGGGGATCCCCTGTTATTGGTAATGGTGAGAGGTTAACTTGTCTTGGGGATCCCCTGTTATTGGTAATGGTGAGAGGTTAGCATGTCTTGGGGATCCCCTGTTATTGGTAATGGTGAGAGGTTAGCATGTCTTGGGGATCCCCTGTTATTGGTAATGGTGAGAGGTTAGCATGTCTTGGGGATCCCCTGTTATTGGTAATGGTGAGAGGTTAGCATGTCTTGGGGATCCCCTGTTATTGGTAATGGTGAGAGGTTAGCATGTCTTGGGGATCCCCTGTTATTGGTAATGGTGAGAGATTAGCATATCTTGGGGGTCCCCTGTTATTGAGCTCAGGTGCATCCTGTTTCCAATGGTTCATCCTTGAGATGTTTCTACTACTTGATTGGAGTCCACCTGTGGTCAATTCAATTATTTGGACATGATTTGGAAAGGCACACAGCTGTCTATAAAAGGTCCCACAGCTGACAGTGCATGTCAGAGCAATAATCATACCATGAGGTCGATGGAATTGTCCATAGAGCTCCGAGACAGGATTGTGTCGAGGCACAGATCTGGGGAAGGGTACCAAAGAATGTCTACAGCATTGAAGGTCCCCAAGAACACAGTGGCCTCCATCATTCTTAAATGGAAGAAGTTTGGAACCACCAAGACTCTTCTTAGAGCTGGCCACCTGGCTAAACTGAGCAATCGGGGGAGAAGGGCCTTGGTCATATACAGTGGGGAGAACAAGTATTTGATACACTGCCGATTTTGCAGGTTTTCCAACTTACAAAGCATGTAGAGGTCTGTCATTTTTATCATAGGTACACTTCAACTGTGAGAGACGGAATCTAAAACAAAAATCCAGAAAATCACATTGTATGATTTTTAAGTAATTAATTTGCATTTTATTGCATGACATAAGTATTTGATCACCTACCAACCAGTAAGAATTCCAGCTCTCACAGACCTGTTAGTTTTTCTTTAAGAAGCCCTCCTGTTCTCCACTCATTACCTGTATTAACTGCACCTGTTTGAACTCGTTACCTGTATAAAAGACACCTGTCCACACACTCAATCAAACAGACTCCAACCTCTCCACAATGGCCAAGACCAGAGAGCTGTGTAAGGACATCAGGGATAAAATTGTAGACCTGCACAAGGCTGGGATGGGCTACAGGACAATAGGCAAGAAGCTTGGTGAGAAGGCAACAACTGTTGGCGCAATTATTAGAAAATGGAAGAAGTTCAAGATGACGGTCAATCACCCTCGGTCTGGGGCTCCATGCAAGATCTCACCTCGTGGGGCATCAATGATCATGAGGAAGGTGAGGGATCAGCCCAGAACTACACGGCAGGACTTGGTCAATGACCTGAAGAGAGCTGGGACCACAGTCTCAAAGAAAACCATTAGTAACACACTACGCCGTCATGGATTAAAATCCTGCAGCGCACGCAAGGTCCCCTTGCTCAAGCCAGCGCATGTCCAGGCCCGTCTGAAGTTTGCCAATGACATCTGGATGATCCAGAGGAGGAATGGGAGAAGGTCATGTGGTCTGATGAGACAAAAATATAGCTTTTTGGTCTAAACTCCACTCGCCGTGTTTGGAGGAAGAAGAAGGATGAGTACAACCCCAAGAACACCATCCCAACCGTGAAGCATGGAGGTGGAAACATCATTCTTTGGGGATGCTTTTCTGCAAAGGGGACAGGACGACTGCACCGTATTGAGGGGAGGATGGATGGGGCCATGTATCGCGAGATATTGGCCAACAACCTCCTTCCCTCAGTAAGAGCATTGAAGATGGGTCGTGGCTGGGTCTTTCAGCATGACAACGACCCGAAACACACAGCCAGGGCAACTAAGGAGTGGCTCCGTAAGAAGCATCTCAAGGTCCTAGAGTGGCCTATCCAGTCTCCAGACCTGAACCCAATAGAACATCTTTGGAGGGAGCTGAAAGTCCGTATTGCCCAGCGACAGCCCCGAAACCTGAAGGATCTGGAGAAGGTCTGTATGGAGGAGTGGGCCAAAATCCCTGCTGCAGTGTGTGCAAACCTGGTCAAGACCTACAGGAAACGTATGATCTCTGTAATTGCAAACAAAGGTTTCTGTACCAAATATTAAGTTCTGCTTTTCTGATGTATCAAATACTTATGTCATGCAATAAAATGCAAATTAATTACTTAAAAATCATACAATGTGATTTTCTGGATTTTTGTTTTAGATTCCGTCTCTCACAGTTGAAGAGTACCTATGATAAAAATTACAGACCTCTACATGCTTTGTAAGTAGGAAAACCTGCAAAATCGGCAGGTTATCAAATACTTGTTCTCCCCACTGTATATATATATATATATATCTTTTTTTTTTTTTTTGTGAGTGTAGTGTTAGATAGTAGGGTATTTGTTATTTAGTTTTTCAAGCAAAGTTAAAGGGAGTTTTACTCCAGTCTAGTAGGTGGCGGTAATGCAATATTTATTGGATGCCAACCGCCGTTAAATCTCATCGAAGAAGAAGTTAAACCCCGGGATGACCCTGTAGGGGAGATGGAGGAGGAATGGGACGCTGACAGAAAGACGGCGGAAGCGTACAATGAAGTGGATTCTGATTCCAATGGCGGTAGAATCAAGGAGAGTTAGAGTCTTGTTCAAAAGAATGGAAAACGGAGCCAAGTAGTGAACAGTGATGAGAACGTCCCTTCATATCTAGTAGGAGGACGGTTTGTTAATGAGGAGCAGCTGAGCAAAGTACCAATATTGAAGAAACCATTTGAGATATCCAAACTGGTGGAGAGAGTGTTGGGTAAATTGAAGGCTGTGAGGATCACGAGAGGTGTGCTTGTTTTGATTTATTGTGCTTCTGCGGATCAGAAGGATCACGTGTTGCATCTCACCTGATTTGATACGTTTGAAGTGTCGTGTGTGTCTCTTCGGAACAGGGCACCCCTCAATGGGGTTATATCTGGCGTTTCGTGGGAAGTCGATTTTTGAACAGATTACAAATATTCGTTGTAAAGCTTTTGGTCATGTTTCAAGTGTTTGCAGAAGGGAGAAGCCAAGATGTCCAAGTAGTGGAAAAGATCATATCATGTGTTATAAAAGTGAGGAAAATGTGACATGTTGCAATTGTGGTGGGAACCATGAAGCTACATCTTTCGATTGCCTGACAAGGGTGAAAGAGAATGAGGTGGCCAAAGTCAGGGCAGTCCAGAGCATTTCATATGCAGCAGCTGTTAAAAGGATTGAGGGTTTGAATGGTTCTCTTGAAGAGTCCATGGTGGTGGATGGGCCTTCACTGCAGGCTGCAGGGGTTGCCTTTCACCAGCAGGACCCTGATATTTTAAAGGTTAAGAAGGTGGACTTTGTGGCCTTTATAGCTATGGTGATTAAATGGCACTGCCAAGGCGGACAGAAGGTCCAGGAAGATGGATATCATTGTGGATGTGGCAGAGCCATAGCTATAAAGCGGTGGAGTTACAGGGAATATTGTCACAAGCCGTACCACCCTCTCAGGCCCTAGAGCCTGAGAAATTGAGATTTGAAAGAAGGACGAAGTGGGAGTTTTGTTTTGTTTTTGTCAATGTACCTAATTTTATTTAGGTGAATTAAGTTAGTTTCCCTATCACATATGGATTTTCTTTTTAACTTGTTTTGGTTTTTCAACCCGTCCAGTTGGTGGCAGAAAATACACCTTTTTGGGTTGTAGACTGCCATAAAACCCACAGAAGAAGGGGAGCTGGCGGAAGCAGAAGTGTCGTTTGAAGCTGAAAGCACGTCGAGTACAGTTAGCGAAAAAGATTTGTGGACAACAGCGAAGTTCAAGAATTATGAATCGTTGCTTGTTGGAGTACGTTTTTTTGGATAAGGATGTTTATTTGGGAAACCCTTTTGAAGTCACAAGGATGGTGAAGAAGGCTTTGGGAAAAGTGGATGCAGTCAAAGTAACCAGGAGTGGTATGGTGTTGATATCATAGTAACCCGGAGCGGTATGGTGTTGATATCATAGTAACCAGGAGCGGTATGGTGTTGATATCATAGTAACCAGGAGTGGTATGGTGTTGATATCATAGTAACCAGGAGTGGTATGGTGTTGATATCATAGTAACCAGGAGTGGTATGGTGTTGATATTAAAGTAACCAGGAGTGGTATGGTGTTGATATCATAGTAACCAGGAGTGGTATGGTGTTGATATTAAAGTAACCAGGAGTGGTATGGTGTTGATATCATAGTAACCAGGAGTGGTATGGTGTTGATATCATAGTAACCAGGAGTGGTATGGTGTTGATATCATAGTAACCAGGAGTGGTATGGTGTTGATATCATAGTAACCAGGAGTGGTATGGTGTTGATATCATAGTAACCAGGAGTGGTATGGTGTTGATATCATAGTAACCAGGAGTGGTATGGTGTTGATATCATAGTAACCAGGAGTGGTATGGTTTTGATATCATAGTAACCAGGAAGTGGTATGGTGTTGATATCATAGTAACCAGGAAGTGGTATGGTGTTGATATCATAGTAACCAGGAAGTGGTATGGTGTTGATATTGTGTGTGTGTGTATCTAAAGAGCAAAAGGAAGCATTGTGGCTCGCGGAATTATCGACACATGAAGTGAACAGCTTTGATTTTCGGCGGGGCAGGGCACCAGTAAAAGGTGTTATCTCTGGCGTCCCGTTGGACATTGATAATCAATATCTTAGGCTAAAAATTCCAGGAAAAGTTCATGGGGAAAAGGAGCTAAGTTTATCTGTATTATTGATGTTTGAGTATTTACCACCCTATGTAAAGTTGGGATATATAAGATACGCCATAAGAGCGTTCGTGCAAAAGTGTAAAAAGTTTGACCATGTGTCAAGTGTTTGCAGACAGAAGGAATATGTTATTAAGAGTCTGAACGTAAAATGTTGCAACTGTGGTGGGGATCATATTTCTGAATTCCCTGAGTGCCCCGTTAGTGTGAAAGAGGTTGAGGTGTCAAGGATCAGGGCTGTACAGCAAATCGCCTATGTAGAGGCAGTGAAGAGCGTTGAAGGGGCAAGAGGCCACAGTTCTGAAGAAGATATGGCGGTGGATGCACCACAACCAGTTGCCAATGTTATATGTCAATCGGGTGATCTGGATACACTTATTGTGAAGAAGGTGGATTTTGTAGCATTTATAGCCACAGTTATTAACTGTACTGAAGCTGGACATCATTATATCTGCAGCCGAGAGGTTTTTGGTCTTGTTAACGGCAGAAGCACTGCAAGGACTACTGTCGCCAGGAAATGTCCCTTCATCACAGGATCCTTCTGAGCCTGTGTAGGGACCTGATTCAACAGAAAACCAGGCTGATTTAGTTTAATTAACATTTCGTTACGGATAGTTTGTATGGAATTTTAAAAAATTACCCTGCATTTGTTTCCTTTTTTGGATCCTTATTATCCAACTGTACAGTAGGAGGCGGAATACATATAATTGTTGCGAACGCCATTATACCAAAGAAGAAGAATAATTTAACCCCTCAACGAAGAAGTTATGCTAGCTTGAACAATAAGAGCTGCTAATTCAAAGTCAGGTGTCAAGGTAAGATCAAGATTTCTAACATATTCTGTAACGTTTCCATGAATAAACATTAGTAGTCGGATTATTTGTCCACATCATCATGTGTAAACAATAGCCATTTGAGCTAACATTAGCTAGCTTGCTTACTGGCCATTAAAATAGCTACCCAAGCTAACTAGCTATCTGTCTATCTGACATACCAAGCAAGGTTATCTTAACGACGCAGTTGTGAATGATACCGTTATTTGTTATTAAGACAACAATGTCAACTATGTGATGTGTGAATTGTCAATCTTTAAGATGGCATAAATCTATTGGCAACCCTAGCTAGTAAGTTAGCATGGCTAGTTAGCTAGGCTGTTTGTTATCGAAGGCTGGCTAGCTAACTTGTTAATTTAATTTCAGGAGCTAATCATTAGCTAACTGGTCATTTAGAGATTACAAATCAAATGTCATTTTGGTTCGCCATTGCTTCAAACGAATTTATTGCTGGTAATTTGGCTATCTAGCTAGATTGTTTCATTCTAGTGAGAAAGGTGACAGTAAAAATCTAAAGCTAACCCAACTAGCTCAACATAGCTAACGTTAGCTGTACGATCGCCAAAGCAATGCTAGCTAGCTATATGTATTAGTGGATGGAATATTTAGTTATAATCCTTAATTAACTAAGCTGTTCCAGTATTTTGTGAAACTCACTTTACATTTGTTTGTGCCTCTTTTGAATCCATTTATAGCCTTCCATGTCTGAACCCAAGTCCCCGGGTTCTTACTGTGGTCTTCCAGCACAGAGAAGCTCACAGTGGGGTCCAGAGATGGTCTTAGTGAAGCTGGAGGACTGTAGTCAACCACTGGAACTCAATGTGATAGTCAAAGAGGAAGAGGAGGAGAGAGAAGTAAAAGAAGAGGAGCTAGGGATTAAAGAAGAGGTGGAGGAGAGAGCGTTCAAAGAAGAGGTGGAGGACAGAGCATTCAAAGAGGAGGTGGAGGAGAGAGCATTCAAAGAGGAGAGATTGTTCAAAGATGAGGTGGAGGAGAGAGCAGTCACAGAAGTGGACAACAGGGAAGAGGAGGAAGAAGTAGATGGTAACACTGACCCAGGTAAGTTCAGTTGTGTAGGATGGAGAGAGGTTGGTGCATTGGCAGCCACAGGGGATTCCATAACTATTATTGGGTCTTTCCACCAATTTGGTGCCTTTTTCTGAAGAGTAACTTGGTTTCATCTAATTTTAAAGGGGCAGCGCAGTTAAAAACATGATATTCCTGTTTTGAAAATAATTCCTGGAATTTCAGCCTGTTCAGGTGGGATGGAGTTTTTGGCCCAGATCATGACATCACAATCTGATATGAATGACCAGTTATCTTTTATTTGCATATGTATCCTCCTACATTGTAGGTGTAAGCGGGTAGGCTCTGTCCGCCAATCAGGGCTGTTTATGTAAATATATTTTAATTTGTATCAACATGCCCACAAGATCAGACTGAGCATTTCAATGGCAAAAGGAGGCTCAGGGAAATAAATAAAAAAAACATGGAGTTATTTTCATGAAATAAACACAAGCAGTGATTTATTAGAAATACAGTGATGATTAAAAAATACTGCATGGGGGCTTTAACATTCTGGGCTCTGTTTTCAGCTGGCGGTTAGGAGGCCCAAGTGTCAAACACACGTTAGTTTGGAATTTCATCATGTAAGAACATGAGCACTGGCATTTTCCAGCCCTAACGCCAGGTTTGGCAATTTACCTGTCTAACATCAGCTGACTTGCGCTGAGGTGGGAGGGGTGGCAATATTTGAGGCGTGTCCTTAAAAACACATGCAAAATGGACAGTTTCTTGCAGCGCTAAAGGGAACGTTTAAGACCGACAAACAGCAGGTCTTCTAGGTAACGCAGTTGATTTGGAGAGCGGAAGCGCAGCCTATCCAGCCATGACACACAGTGCCCATGGAAGAGAGATGTTCATTTTGTGCCGGTGAATCTCATATTTAGGAACATAACATTTCGTTTAATTTGACTAAAAACCAAGCATAGCCTACCCTACTCCTAAATAATGGCTGGTTTAGCAGCATCACATACAGTGCATTCGGAAAGTGTTCAGACCCCTTGACTTTTTCCAAATTTCGTTAAGTTACAGCCTTATTCTAAAATGGATAAATAAAATAAAAATTATCTCAGCAATCACACAATACCCCATATTGACGAAGCAAAAACAGGTTTTTATAAATATTTGCAAATTTATTAAAATAAACGAAATACCTTATTTACATAAGTATTCAGACCCTTTGCTATGAGACTCGAAATTGAGCTCAGGTGCATCCTGTTTCCATTGATCATCCTTGAGATGTTTCTACAGCTTGATTGGAGTCCACCTGTGGTACATTGTCAGACCAAAAACCAAGCCATGAGGTCGAAGGAATTGTCCGTAGAGCTCCGAAAAAGGATTATGGCAAGGCACAGATCTGGGAAGGGTACCAACACATTTCTGCAGCATTGAAGGTCCCCAAGAACACAGTGGCTTCCATCGTTCTTAAATGGAATAAGTTTGGAACCACCAAGACACTTCCTAGAGCTGGCCGCCCGGCCAAACTGAGCAGTCGGGGGAGATGGGCCTTCGTCAGATGACCAAGGTGACCAAGTACCTAATGGTCGCTCTGACAGGGCTCTAGAGTTCCTCTCTGGATATGGGAGAACCTTCCAAATGGACATCCATCTCTGCAGCACTCCACCAATCAGGCCTTTATGGTAGAGTGGCCACGCTGAAGCCACTCCTCAGTAAAAGGCACATGACAACCCGCTTGGAGTTTGGCTAAAGGCACCTAAAGACTCTCAGACCATGAGAAACAAGATTCTCTGGTCTGATGAAACCAAGATTGAACTCTTTGGCCTGAATGGCAAGCGTCACGTCAGGAGGAAACCTGGCACCATCCCTATGGTGAAGCATGGTGGTGGCAGCATCATGCTGAGGGGATGTTTTTCAGCGGCAGGGACTGGGAGACTAGTCAGGATCGAGGCAAAGATGAACATAGCCTCCTGTAGCTCAATTGGTAGAGCATGGCGCTTGCAATGCCAGGGTTGTGGGTTTGATTGGCTGCCGTTTTACAGCACTCTAACCAATTGTACTATTATGTGTGTTTTTCCGCATTATTTGTAATTTATTTTGTACATAATGTTTCTGCCATCGTCTCTTATAACCAAAAAGAGCTTCTGGATATCAGGACAGCGATTACTCACCTCGTATTGGACGAAGATTTTTTCTTCAACGAGGCGGCCGCGAAGGATATCATACAGACACCCGACAAGGCCCAAATCCCCGTCATTCGCATGAGGAAGAGACTGAGATATCGTGGACGTAGGTCGGGGTGCCTTGTAAGGATCCGACGGCGAGCGAGTAAACTGCCTCTTCCATCAATCCTATTAGCCAATCTTCAATCATTGGAGAACAAATTGGATGACCTAAGATTACGGTTATCCTACCAACGGGACATTAAAAACTGTAATATCTTATGTTTCACAGAGTCGTGGCTGAACGACGACATGGATAACATACAGCTAGCGGGCTATACGCTACATCGGCAGGATAGAACGGCTGACTCCGGTAAGACAAGGGGTGGCGGTCTGTGTATATTTGTAAACAACAGCTGGTGCACAAAATCAAATACTAAGGAAGTCTCGAGGTTTTGCTCGCCTGAGGTAGAGTATCTTATGATAAGCTGTAGACTGCACTATTTACCAAGAGAGTTTTCATCTATATTTTTCATAGCTGTCTATTTACCACCACAAACCAATGCTGGCATTAAGATTGCACTGAATGAGTTATATAAGGCCATAAATCAACAGGAAAACGCTCATCCACATGCAGCGCTCCTAGTGGCCGGGGACTTTAATGCAGGGAAACTTAAATCCGTTCTACCTAATTTCTACCAGCATGTTAAATGTGCAACCAGAGGAAAAAACCTCTGGACCACCTTTACTCCACACACAGAGACGCATACAAAGCTCTCCCTCGCCCTCCATTTGGCAAATCTGACCATAACTCTATCCTCCTGATTCCTGCTTATAAGCAAAAACTAAAGCAGGAAGCACCAGTAACTCGGTTAATAAAAAAGTGGTCAGATGACGCAGATGCTAAGCTACAGGACTGTTTTGCTAGCACAGACTGGAACATGTTCCGGGATTCTTCAGACAGCATTGAGGAGTACACCACATCAGTCACTGGCTTCATCAATAAGTGCATCGATGATGTCGTCCCCACAGTGACCGTACGTACATACCCCAACCAGAAGCCATGGATTACAGGAAACATCCGCACTGAGCTAAAGGGTAGAGCTGCCGCTTTCAAGGAGCGGGACTCTAACCCGGACGCTTATAAGAAATCCCGCTATGCCCTCCGACGAACCATCAAACAGGCAAAGAGTAATTACAGGACTAAGATTGAATCGTACTACACTGGCTCTGACGCTCGTCGAATGTGGCAGGGCTTGAAAACTATTACAGACTACAAAGGGAAGCACAGCCGCGAGCTGCCCAGTGACACAAGCCTACCAGACGAGCTAAACCACTTCTATGCTCGCTTCGAGGCAAGCAACACTGAAGCATGCATGAGAGCACCAGCTGTTCCGGATGACTATGTGATCACGCTCTCCGTAGCCGATGTGAGTAAGACTTTTAAGCAGGTCAACATTCACAAGGCCGCAGGGCCAGACGGATTACCAGGACGTGTACTCCGAGCATGTGCTGACCAACTGGCAAGTGTCTTCACTGACATTTTCAACATGTCCCTGACTGAGTCTGTAATACCAACATGTTTCAAGCAGACCACCATAGTCCCCGTGCCCAAGGACTCTAAGATAACCTGCCTAAATGACTACCGACCCGTAGCACTGACGTCTGTAGCCATGAAGTGCTTTGAAAGGCTGGTCATGGCTCACATCAACAGCATTATCCCAGAAACCCTAGACCCACTCCAATTTGCATACCGCCCCAACAGATCCACAGATGATGCAATCTCTATTGCACTCCACACTGCCCTTTCCCACCTGGACAAGAGGAACACCTACGTGAGAATGCTATTCATTGACTACAGCTCAGCATTCAACACCATAGTGCCCTATAAGCTCATCACTAAGCTAAGGATCCTGGGACTAAACACCTCCCTCTGCAACTGGATCCTGGACTTCCTGACGGGCCGCCCCCAGGTGGTAAGGAAGGGTAGGTAACAACACATCTGCCACACTGATCCTCAACACGGGGGCCCCTCAGGGGTGCGTGCTCAGTCCCCTCCTGTACTCCCTGTTCACCCATGACTGCATGGCCAGGCACGACTCCAACACCATTATTAAGTTTGCCGACGACACAACAGTGGTAGGCCTGATCACCGACAACGATGAGACAGCCTATAGGGAGGAGGTCAGAGACCTGGCCGTGTGGTGCCAGGACAACAACCTCTCCCTCAACGTGACCAAGACAAAGGAGATGATTGTGGACTACAGGAAAAAAAAGAGGACTGAGCACGCCCCCATTCTCATCGACGGGGCTGTAGTGGAACAGGTTGAGAGCTTCAAGTTCCTTGGTGTCCACATCACCAACGAACTATCATGGTCCAAACACACCAAGACAGTCGTGAAGAGGGCACGACAAAGCCTATTCCCCCTCAGGAGACTGAAAAGATTTGTCATGGGTCCTCAGATCCTAAAAAAATTCTACAGCTGCACCATCGAGAGCATCCTGACTGGTTGCATCACCGCCTGGTATGGCAACTGCTTGGCCTCCGACCGCAAGGCACTACAGAGGGTAGTGCGTACGGCCCAGTACATCACTGGGGCCAAGCTTCCTGCCATCCAGGACCTCTATACCAGGCGGTGTCAGAGGAAGGCCCTCAAAATTGTCAAAGACTCCAGCCACCCTAGTCATAGACTGTTCTCTCTGCTACCGCACGGCAAGCGGTACCGGAGTGCCAAGTCTAGGTCCAAAAGACTTCTCAACAGCTTCTACCCCCAAGCCATAAGACTCCTGAACAGCTAATCATGGCTACCCAGACTATTTGCACTGCCCCCCCACCCCATCCTTTTACGCTGCTGCTACTCTGTTAATTATTTATGCATAGTCACTTTAACTCTACCCACATGTACATATTACTTCAACTACCTCAACTGGCCGGTGCCCCCGCACATTGACTCTGCACCGGTACCCCCCTGTATATATAGCCTCCCTACTGTTATTTTATTTTACTTCTGCTCTTTTTTTCTCAACACTTTTTTTGTTGTTGTTTTATTTTTAATGCACTGTTGGTTAAGGGCTGTAAGTAAGCATTTCACTGTAATGTCTGCACCTGTTGTATTCGGCGCATGTGGCCAATAAAATTTGATTTGATTTGATTCCCACGAGGGGCCAATATGAAAAATGTATGCACTCACTAATAAACTGTAAGTCGCTCTGGATAAGAGCATCTGCTAAATGACTAAAATGTAAAAATGTAAATGAATCGAGCAAAGTACAGAGAGATCATTAATGAAAACCTGCTCCAAATGTTCACCTTCCAACAGGACAACGACCCTAAGCCATTGAAGAGGAGTAGGACAACGTTCCACAGGCCACAATCAACAGCTTAATCAACTCTATTCGAAGGATATGTCGCGCTGCATGAGGCAAATGGTCACTTACTGACTGGTTTTCTGATCCACGCTCTTACTTTTTTTTTTAGGTATCTGTGGCCAACAGAGGCATATCTGTATTTCCAGTCATGTGAAATCCATAGATTAGGGCCTAATGAACGTTTTTAAATTCATGAGTATAATTTTTGAAATTGTTGCATGTTGCGTTTTATATTTTTGTTCAGTGTATTAAAGTAAGGTACCTAATTGTTACCCAATAAATTATTTGATATTGATATTAAAAACAGCTGCATTGGGCCTTTAAACAATTATTTTAAAGACCATTTCAATGCTTTTCCTGATTCTAACCCCATATCTGTTCATATTTCCACAGTAGAGACCTCCAACCCAGGTTCAGACAGTGAGCCCAGTTCCAGAGCATCAGGAAACCATAAACAACACAGACAGAGGAACTCAAGACAGAAACATCACCACTGCATGGACTGCTTCACTAGTTTCTATGAGCCAGAGGAGTTGAGAAGGCACACTTGTAGGCCCCGCCCCTGCTCAGATTGCATAGGCAGTTTTATTTGTCCAACTCACTTCAAATCAAAACAGACTCAAAAAAGGATGACGACATACCCGTGTGGTCAATGTGGGACGAGATGTCAAACACCAAGCAAACTGAAGACGCACCAGAGAACTCACACAGGAGAGAAGCCATACCACTGCTCTGTTTGTGGGAAGAGTTTCACCAGGTTATGTGAACTGAAGGCACACCAGATAACTCACACAGAAGAGAAGCCTTACCACTGCTCTCAATGTGGGGATAGTTTCACCAGTTTATATTTCCTTAAGAAACATCAGCTTATTCACACAGGAAAAAATCCATTCCACTGCTCCCAGTGCGAGAAGAGTTTCAGTCAGTCATCAACTCTGAAGACACACCAGATAACTCACACAGGAGAGAAGCCGTTCCACTGCCGTCAATGTGAGAAGAGTTTCGGTCATTTATCAACTCTGAAGACACATCAGATAACTCACACAGGAGATAAGCCTCACCTCTGCTCTCAGTGTGGGAAGAGTTTCAGTCTGGTAGGAAACCTAAAGAGACACCAGCTAACCCACACAGTAGAGAAGCCTTACCACTGCTCTCATTGTGGGAAGAGTGTCAATAGGTTACACCAACTAAAGACACACAACCTAACTCACACAGGAGAGAAGCCTTACCTCTGCTCTTATTGTGGGAAGGGTTTCCGTCAGTTAGCCAACCTAAATACACACCAGTTAATTCACACAGGAGAGAAGCCATACCACTGCTCTCAGTGTGGGAAAAATTTCAGACATCCAAGACACTTAAAGTCACACCAGATAACTCACACAGGAGATAAGCCTCACCTCTGCTCTCAGTGTGGCAAGAGTTTCAGTCTGGTAGGAAACCTAAAGAGACACCAGCTAACCCACACAGTAGAGAAGCCTTACCTCTGCTCTCAATGTGGGGATAGTTTCACAAGTTTATATTTCCTAAAGAAACACCAGCTAATTCACACAGGAAAAAAGCCATTCCACTGCTCCCAGTGTGGGAAGAGTTTCAGTCAATCATCAACTTTGAAGAAACATCAGAGAACTCACACAGGAGAAAATCGTCATCAGATCTGAAGACACTAGCATTTTCACATAGGGGAGAAGCCTTACCTCTGCTCTCAATGTGGGGATAGTTTCACCAGTTTATAATTCCAAAAACACCAACTAATTATGACTAACAATAACTTACTTGGTTAAGAAAAGGTGGAAAAAAAATAACTTGCAAAGGAGTGTGGAACCTGCTCCCTGTGTGGAAAGCTTCAGTCGGTCATCAAATTTGAAGAGGCTGTACCAATAGTATCAATAGTAGAGAAGCTGTACCACTGCTCTGTGTGAGGAAAAGGTTCGTGTAGAGACATAAAGATACACCAGCTTACTCGCACTGGAGAGAAGCTTTACCATGTTCTGGAGTTGTTTTAATATTGTTTATTGAAATAAAGCTGGTTTGATGATAACGGTTTATTGTGAACATATCAATATTTCAGGAATCACCAAAAAGGCAGCACTGGAGAGAAAAGGCGGTTTTACAGAAACTGTATTGATTTTATTGGTGATTAGGGGACATGGTTTGTCAGTGTCAGTGTTTCCACTAAACAGCTGTCTGTTTTGGAATGCAATACTTCTATAACAGCAGACCTTCAGCAGACATCCAGTTGATTTTCTAGAGGACGCGCCCACAACGGACAATTCAGTGAAGTTGTATTTGGCGTTGTGGAATCCGTAGCTAATATCTGTCCATAGAGAATCCTCAGTAATCACAGACATCATATCCATAGCTAATATCTGTCCATAGAGAATCCTCAGTAATCAGACATCATATCCATAGCTAATATCTGTCCATAGAGAATCCTCAGTAATCACAGACATCATATCCACAGCTAATATCTGTCCATAGAGAATCCTCAGTAATCACAGACATCAATATCCATAGCTAATATCTGTCCATAGAGAATCCTCAGTAATCACAGACATCATATCCATAGCTAATATCTGTCCATAGAGAATCCTCAGTAATCACAGACATCATATCCATAGCTAATATCTTGTAGTTGGATTTCTATAAATCTCTTTTTTTTCTTTTTTTTTCTTTTTCCTCAAGTTATTTTTTTTAAATATAAGTTAGTCACAAGGGAGGGGGGGGGGGGGGGGGGGGGTTGTCATGACCCCCTCTTTAGGACCATCTGGCAGAACGCCCAGAATATGTTATTTAAGTTAAGATAGGAGGCGGAGCCAGTCACATTTAGGAACCAATCCAATGAATCATGTTTATGTAGGTTTTTATGTAGCCGTATATAAGGCTCTATGTAAGGAACGCCCTTGAAGAGCTCACTTCAGACCGGTACTTTATGCATCTAAGTTTGACTGTGACCTCTCCAGCTTGCTGTTAATAAACAATGATTCATTTAAGATTGACTGCGAGTGTCCCTGTGTAGAATTTCCACAACATTGTTAATGGTGAGAGGTTAGCATGTCTTGGGGCTATGATCTTTGTACGATTTATATTTATCCTGTCTCGAATGAAAAGTTTATATTTTGCTATCTCCCAAAATAAATGCCATCTCTGATGAGAGACAGGCTCACCTCCATCTTGCATTACAAACACTACACTTGTCCGTTCAGTAGCGGGGCAAGACTTTGTCTTGGGGATCCCCTGTTATTGGTAATGATGAGAGGTTAGCATGTCTTGGGGATCCCCTGTTATTGGTAATGGTGAGAGGTTAGCATGGCCCCTGTTATTGGTAATGGTGAGAGGTTAGCATGTCCCCTGTTATTGTTAATGGTGAGAGGTTAGCATGTCTTGGGGATCCCCTGTTATTGGTAATGGTGAGAGGTTAGCATGTCTTGGGGATCCCCTGTTATTGGTAATGGTGAGAGGTTAGCATGTCTTGGGGATCCCCTGTTATTGGTAATGGTGAGAGGTTAGCATGTCCCCTGTTATTGGTAATGGTGAGAGGTTAGCATGTCTTGGGGATCCCCTGTTATTGGTAATGGTGAGAGGTTAGCATGTCCCGGGGATCCCCTGTTATTGGTAATGGTGAGAGGTTAGCATGTCTTGGGGATCCCCTGTTATTGGTAATGGTGAGAGGTTAGCATGTCCCCTGTTATTGTCTTGTGGTGCAAGACTTTGTGAAGATGACGTACTGCGTAATGAAATACGTCACGATGTCGGCTAAGGAGTGTTCTAACATGCGTTTCCCTAAACACCACGCAGAGAAAACGTTGTTGAGGCATGTGTCGATACTGATAGGATCTAAAGAAAGGCAGCACTGCTCTCTGTGCTCTGACTTCCCCCTTTAACACATTTTGCTGCCTTAAAATGAAATCAGAAAAATTATTACATTTGATAATTTTTCCTACAGATCTACACAACCTACTCCACATTTTCAAAGTGAAAGAAGGTTAGAATATATTCCAAATTAATAAAAATAATCCTTAAATATCAAAATAGGATAAGTCTCCACCCCCCTGAGTTAATACTTGGTGGAAGCACATTTGGCAGCCATTACAGCTGTGAATCATTTGGAATAAGATTTTACCTTTGCACAACTCTAAGGGCTACATAGATCCATTGTTTTTGTCAACATTGCTCAGCTCAATATATTTGGTTGGGAGTCATTGATGGATTGCAATATTCAAACCTTGTTTCTGATTTTTAAGCAAATGTAAGTCCGGACTGAGACTAAACCATTCAGGAACACTCAACACCTCTAGGAAAATCCATTTTGGCGTCTTTGGCAAAAACATTTGTGTAATTGTCTCGCTGAAAAATAAAACTATCCCAGGGTTTTCAGAAGACTGAGGCTGGTTTTCCTCAAACTTTTTACCTGGGCTTTGCTTCTTTCATATTTAATTGGATCCTGACAAACTCCCCACTCCCTGCCAACGGCAAGCATACCCATAACATGATGCTGCCACCACAATATTTGAAAATAGTGTTTCACTCTTTGTTGTGTTGGATTGGATTTGACCCAAATTTGTAGTTTTTTATTTATGGCAAAAAAAAATGTCTTGCAGAACTACTTAACAGCCTTGTTGCAAACAGAATTGATTATTTGGAGTGTGTTTTTTTATACACGTTTCTTTCTTTTGACTTTGTCACACACAGGTGGTGAAAAAGTACCCAATTGTCATATTTGAGTAAAAGTAAAGATACCTTAATAGAAAATGACTGAAGTCAAAATGTATTGTCTTGCAGTATTATTAAATGGCCTTGTTGCAAACAATAATATGGAGTGAATGCAATGATGTTGATCCCTTTTGTATTTTAAAATATTGTGGTGGCAGCATCATGTAATGGGTATGCTTATCACTGGCAGGGAAGTGGATTATGAATAGGTTCTGAAAGAGGGAACATGAACTACTTGAGAAAGGAAAATTAGCTAGAAAGTCACAGTCTTGTATGCCACATTATTGTAGCTATTAGAAAGCTATTCCTCACAAAACTTGAACAAAAATACTTGAATTTAACAGTGAGCATTGATCAATGCCTACTTAAGAAGCCGGTGGCCGCCAGCTTCTTAATGTTTTGCTACGGTGTGCCTAATGAACACGATCCAACAAATTCCATACAACATTATTGAGATAATTGCGATATTAAAGTTGACTGTTATTATGTTGATGTGTTCCTAATATGTTTCCCTCTTGTTTCCCTTCCAGACCACCACATCCTTCCACATCCTAACCTTCCTACCAGCTTTACAAGCCTCAACTCTTAAACCCCAAACCTTAATGAAAATCCATTCCAAACCCTCTCCCCATGTGATCTGGGTTAGTGTTCAAATGTGTTTAATAAATACCCTAAACCTGGATTCCTCCTCTCCATCTCCTCAATGCATTATTCTTGCCGATTCGCCATGTTGGCAGCAGAAATCCTAAACCAGTCAGTCATATAGAAAACGTTGTAAGACAGTTTGTTTTAGAAACTCATAATCTTAAACAACTTTAATTCAGCGCTTAATTACTTGAAATCAGGGTCAGTATGTTAGAAATACAATTCAGTTAATTCAGGAAGTAAACTGAAATTCGAATTTTTCACAATTGTTTTAAATAAGAAATTATTTTCGTTCACTTTCTGAATTGACCTGAAATGACCCCAGCCCTGATCTCCATACAGTCATATATCATGCAGGATCTTTGCACATTAAAATCAATATCATACATGTTCAGTCTGCATGATGTGAATGTTCTCTCCACCCACAAACAAATGAAGTAAATAATTTGTCAAAGAGGAGGTGGAGGAGAGGGCAGTCAAAGAGGAGGTGGAGACTACAGACCCGGGTTCATTCCCGGGCTGTGCCACAATTGGCTGTGGCTGGGAGTCCACAGGACATCGCACAATTGGCCCTGCGATGTCTGGGTTAGGGGAGGGTTTGGCCAGGGGGCTTTACTTGTCTCATCGCGCCCTAGCTACTCCTTGTGGCGGGCCGGGTGCCTCCAGGCTGACCCTGGTCGCCAGTTGAATGGTGTTTCCTCCAACACGTTGGTGCAGCTGGCTTCCGGGTTAAGCGAGCAGTGTGTTAAGAAGCAGTGCGGCTTGGCAGGGTCGTGTTTCGGAGGACGCATGGCTCTCGACCTTCGCCTCTCCTGAGTCTGTACGGGAGTTGCAGCGATGGGACAAGACTGTAACTACCAATTGGATATCACGAAATAGGGGAGAAAAAGGGGTAAAAAGTTTTTAAAAAATTATATATATATATATATATATATATATATATATATATACAGACCTAGACCTTAGTGCTGGTTTTAAATATATACAGTGGGGAGAACAAGTATTTGATACACTGCTGATTTTGCAGGTTTTCCTACTTACAAAGCATGTAGAGGTCTGTAATTTTAATCATAGGTACACTTCAACTGTGAGAGACGGAATCTACAACAAAAATCCAGAAAATCACATTGTATGATTTTTAAGTAATTAATTTGCATTTTATTGCATGACATAAGTATTTGATACATCAGAAAAGCAGAACTTAATATTTGGTACAGAAACCTTTGTTTGCAATTACAGAGATCATACGTTTCCTGTAGGTCTTGACCAGGTTTGCACACACTGCAGCAGGGATTTTGGCCCACTCCTCCATACAGACCTTCTCCAGATCCTTCAGGTTTCGGGGCTGTCGCTGGGCAATACAGACTTTCAGCTCCCTCCAAAAATGTTCTATTGGGTTGGCTAGGCCACTCCAGGACCTTGAGATGCTTCTTACGGAGCCACTCCTTAGTTGCCCTGGCTGTGTGTTTCGGGTCGTTGTCATGCTGGAAGACCCAGCCACAACCCATCTTCAATGCTCTTACTGAGGGAAGGAGGTTGTTGGCCAAGATCTCGCGATACATGGCCCCATCCATCCTCCCCTCAATACAGTGCAGTCGTCCTGTCCCCTTTGCAGAAAAGCATCCCCAAAGAATGATGTTTCCACCTCCATGCTTCACGGTTGGGATGGTGTTCTTGGTGTTGTACTCATCCTTCTTCTTCCTCCAAACACGGCGAGTGGAGTTTAGACCAAAAAGCTCTATTTCTGTCTCATCAGACCACATGACCTTCTCCCATTCCTCCTCTGGATCATCCAGATGGTCATTGGCAAACTTCAGACGGGCCTGGACATGCGCTGGCTTGAGCAGGGGGACCTTGCGTGCGCTGCAGGATTTTAATCCATGACGGCGTAGTGTGTTACTAATGGTTTTCTTTGAGACTGTGGTCCCAGCTCTCTTCAGGTCATTGACCAGGTCCTGCCGTGTAGTTCTGGGCTGATCCCTCACCTTCCTCATGATCATTGATGCCCCACGAGGTGAGATCTTGCATGGAGCCCCAGACCGAGGGTGATTGACCGTCATCTTGAACTTCTTCCATTTTCTAATAATTGCACCAACAGTTGTTGCCTTCTCACCAAGCTGCTTGCCTATTGTCATGTAGCCCATCCCAGCCTTGTGCAGGTCTACAATTGTATCCATGATGTCCTTACACAGCTCTCTGGTCTTGGCCATTGTGGAGAGGTTGGAGTCTGTTTGATTGAGTGTGTGGACAGGTGTCTTTTATACAGGTAACAAGTTCAAACAGGTGCAGTTAATACAGGTAATGAGTGGAGAACAGGAGGGCTTCTTTAAGAAAAACTAACAGGTCTGTGAGAGCCGGAATTCTTACTGGTTGGTAGGTGATCAAATATTTATGTCATGCAATAAAATGCAAATTAATTACTTAAAAATCATACAATGTGATTTTCTGGATTTTTGTTGTAGATTCCGTCTCTCACAGTTGAAGCGTACCTATGATTAAAAATGTCAGACCTCTACATGCTTTGTAAGTTGGATCGTCAGTGTATCAAATACTTGTTCTCCCCACTGTATATATTTAAAACCAGCACTAAGGTCTAGGAGCACGAGGATAGATGAAGTCTGACGCCATTAAAAGGTAATTTACCACCTTCACGAGTGCAGTCTCAGTGCTACGATGGGTTCCAGAACCAGACTGAAGCGTTTCGTATACATGACTTGTCTTCAGGAAGGCAGTGAGTTGCTGCGCAACAGCTTTTTCAAAATGTTTGAGAGGAATGGGAGATTCTATATAGGCCATTTTCAGTGCCAAGAACCCTAAGGTTCTTCGAAGAACTTTGAGGATCTTAGTAGAACCGTTGCTGAACCCTTAAATATTTTAGTGCATTCAATTCAAATCTGGTATTGGGAACAAAAAGAGTTCAATACACGTCTTCTATAATACACTAGTATTTTAATTAATGCAAAACACTTCAATGGTAAATATGATGTTCGTATATACGTGTCCACTGAAATACCACGCAGGGCAGACAGAGAACTGATCCATTGTTCTAAGTTCTTCTCCAAATACTCTGACAGAGATAGTTCCCGCTCCCTGCTGGCCTATCAGAGTAGAGACTGAGCGTGGTTTAGACTTACTCAGCCTATCGTTGGCGCACAGGCTGGTCCCAGTCCCTTGGCGCTTCACTGTTGCCAGGTGTTTAGTTGTTTTGCAACTTGTCCAGAGAGTCAGCACTTTTGCAGTACACGTCCTTGAGCGGTCTAACAAAGAGGCAGTGTGTATGTGAGACACAAGTCTGTCTCGGCCTACCCCCTAATAGTTCCTCACATTAATCACAGCTTGTTATGTTAAACAGTCTATATCAGTACAGCACAAACCTATTATGTTTAATCATTAATGCTTTCTTATTAAGCTAACACAGTGCTTCTCAATTATTTTCTGTTGCGCCCCCCCTAGGAAGAAGTAAACATTTCGCGCCCCCCAACTCTCCGCCGCAACTGGAAATAGTATCATTTGTCTATGAAATTGTTCTAAGTACACCTCTGCATAACATTGTATCCTTATTAACATTAAAGAAAATAAAATAAAGAAATATAGATCAACTTACAACAAAGAATAACTTTATTAACATTGTTTTTTAGTCTGTAACAGAAAAGACTTCAAGTGCATCAATTTGCCTGAAATTTGCCTTATTTAAACTGTAAAAAAATGTTGACCATTTGATACTGAAAAATAAAATAAAATATAATCAATAAATAATAATAAATTCAAATTGATCAGCAACATGAACTCAGGAGCCCAATATATGAAACACTGACCTATAAAACAAAAATGAATAAAACCATTTGTGCTGGTTTTTTTTTAGCAAAATGAGGAAGTCAGCATTAATGGCAAAAGCCACGTTTGTCTTTGAGTTTATCTACCAGCTGTTCTTTAAGATCGTTAGCAATGTCATGTATACGTCTGGCGACAGTGTCATTGGACAGAGGGATAGTTTTTATTTTTGCAGCACTTGCGTCATCCAGCATGACAGAGACCATGTCTAATGCTGCAGGCAGTATCAGCTCCTCTGCTATGGATTGTTTTTTTTTTGCACTGAGCAATTTGGTACGCCACCTTATATGATGCTAACAGTGCTCGCTGGTTTCCTGAAGTAGCATTCACAAAGCGGGAAGATTGTTGGCAATATTCGGCACGTTTTCGCTGAAAAAACTCAAGCGGCTTATCAGCGTAATTGGGGTGTAATGTATTTAAGTGACGCCTTAATTTATTTGGCTTCATGCTGTCCGCTGCCAACATTTTTAGACACAGTAAACATACCGGTCTTTCCTCTTCTCCCACCGTAGTCACAGTGAAGCCAAGCGCGACATACGCTTCGTCATATTTCCTCGTCTTAGCTTTCGGGAGACTTACGTTTGTCTCATTATCTCCGTCTCTCTCCGCCTTTCTTTTCATCTATCGTATATGAAGATTATGTCTTTGTTAAATGTTTTTCATGAAGAAATGGAATGTTGTTTATGTTAGTATCAAAAGGGAATGTTTTAGTGTAACGTCACATACAACAGACAGGAAGTGTGTTGTAGACAGGGGAGACTGGTGATTGGCCAGAAGAGGGAGCCACCCATCTTTTTGCATTGTTTATAAATAGGGGTTAAACGAAGAAGAAAGTCAGAACGGCCATGGCAATCTGGGACGCCGTTCTCCGGACACCGCGGGTCTGTAACTTATGCTGTAACCTTGTGATATTAATAAAAGCCTCTAAATCATTGTGCAGCATAAGCGGACTCTTTGTTGACAGCAATAATTGCCACCATTCACCCGATACGACAAATGGCGCCCAACGTGGGGCTGGTCTGCACCTCTCCTTTGGTTCATTCAGTCGCCAGGCTAACTCGCTTTGAAGCATGGCCAGACAAGGGTGAGTTTTTCTTACCGCTTCGGAGCTTG